TAAAAACAAAAAAAAAAAATCTGTGCTCTGTGGTTGTGGCGGACGTTGGTTCGTATAGTAAGGAAAACTTTCGGGTCTGGACTCGATCAATTTTCAAATTGTTTTCCAGGTCCGTTTTGCAATTATTGTAACTAGTATGAAATATATACTATGTATATAATATATTAAATATTTGTTAAAAAAAAAAATATTTATATTGCAAATAAACGTTATTATTATTATTATTATAAAAAAATTTGAAAGCATTGACAATTTTACATTGTATTGCCAACATAATGTCATTTTGACTTTTATCTTTAAAAAAAAAACAGATTTTACAATTTCTTTATTAGTTAGAATATACAGGGGACTGGGTCTAGTAGTTCGGAAATTTTTGTTTTATCATAGTCAGTCACGTTCATGATTGATTAACGTTGCGTTTCCTTTATCCGCAGGCAGGACTAGTATGTTCTTGTCTGTATTCAATTCAGGCTGCCAGTGGCGTAGCCAAACCAAACGTGGACGTCGGCGACATCCGAATTGCGAGGCGCGAGGCCCTTTTTATGTAGGGTGGGGTGGCCACAGGATGTCTTGTGACAAAAAGCAGGGACGGGTAGCCGCTGGCAGGCCCGCCGAAGGATACCCGATACCCGCCGAAGGCGAGAATTTTTTGAGTGTCACGCCCCTGTCTCCGAGCAGTTATTTTACATAGTATACCATGGCCCGTATTCTCGTCACCGAGAAACAGCGTTCTCTCAAGAGAACAATTGCTCTGTCTTAGTCACCCATATTAATATTTCCATAATACTGACAGACAGAGCAATCGTTCTTTCGAGAGAACGTTGTTCCCCGGTTACGAGAATACGGGCCCATGCAGAGAACATCGAGTCTATAAGCTCCGCGTCCAAGCCTAGTCCAGCTTTGGTTCAGTATTGAAAATATCTGTAATGCGGTATAGAATGTAGTTAGGGCTCCAAATATGGTATACTTTGTAGTCGAGTTCTCAGAAACGCGGCATTCGGCAATAGGAGATGGAATGGAGTGAGACAGCATGACCACTCCGAAAGTATCCAGGGGTTCTAGAACCCACGATTCGCATACAATCGTTCATTTTCATTTAGTGTGCGAGTGTTGGAAGTGAAAACAAACAAGATGGGTGAGCGGAGTAAATAAAGAGATTAAATTTAAAAAAATTACAACCTGAGGTAGAAATAGAAACTTTGGAATTTGAAAGGTATCAAGAACAGTGTTGCCAACTCATGGGATTTGGAAATACCTAGATTTGAAAAAAAATGTTCCTAGAATTTATTTTTTTCTAATTCATTTTAGAATTATTATAACAGAGCCTAATAATAATTGTAATATGTAATGTATACTTGCAATTTACAAGAAAAAAAATCATATTTTCAAAACTAATCATTATTGCGACTCAAGTTTTTGAAAAACAACATAGAATTTCCAAAAGCAATAAAATATTGTTATGACGTCACTGGTGGGGTGGCGGCAGTAGCTTTGTTTTGGATCGAAATTTGGAACGGTTCTGAGATTGCGCAGAACTGCTTGCGCACAAAAAATAATTGGGGACTGTTCTGTACTAGTTCTGAACCGATTCGGAACCAAAAAAACCAAAACACGCCGCAAATCACAAAATTCTGAAACAGTTCCTCCTTCAGAGCAAGAATTGAGAGAACTGTTCTAGACCATCCCAGAATTGTTCTAAAATAGTTCTAGATAAACCAAAACACTGTCAAAACAGTTCGATTATACGATTCTGAAATAATGAAAACGCGTTTTTTAATATGCGCATGTGCAGAATGATTCCGAACTAGTTTTGAGTGAAACCAAAACAAAGCTAGTGACGACAGACTCTTAACAACTGTCTTCTGATTCGACGCGATTGTTGTGGGAATCCCCACACACATCACTTGACATCACGTTACACGAAAGGCAAAGAGCACTTCACAACATACAAAAATGGGACTGTTAGATGTTGTATGTAATTACTCAAACAAACCAATAATAAGGTCACTTCCAATTTTTTAAAGAATATGTAATACTATATAATATGTATTAATTTTTTTAGAATTTATTAAATTGTAGAAAAATTAAGAGTATCAAAAAACCTCCTAGAATTTCCCTATATCCCTAGACAATTTTTTTTTGCATATTTATCCCTAGAATTAGGGACAAATCCCTAGAGTTGGCATCACTGATCAAGAATATAAGGCTCCAATTAGATGCAAATAATGGTGAGTGATTTTGCAGAAGTTAAGAGTTTTATAGGAAAGCTCAGTGCCGATACATATACAAACTGGATAGTTAGGAGAACTTATACAAAAATTAGCTTTTCGTAAAATTTCCGTCTGTCCAAGTCCAGCATAACAACCTTAATAAGAATGCACAGAAAAAGGGCAGTTCTAATTTGCGGAACAGGAAAAAGGGATGCAATGCACAAATTGACATCAAAATTTAAAAAATAACTGATGGCCGTTTCCACCAACCATTTTAGGGGAGCCCTAACGATAAGTATTCCCTAAAATGACATTTTTACATGAAGAAATGTCAGTTTAAGGCATACCTATCGTTAGGGCTTCCCTAAATTAGTTGGTGGAAATGGACATGAGGCCACTATCCGACGTGACAGTTATTTGAAAAATAGTCTGAATGCCCAAATACAGGTTTATTATAGGTTGAAATAGTTATCTCGCTTGCGACTCGTGTGAACGTATAACGCGATTACCTAGTAAAAACCATTTTGCGCACTGCTGATTACATTCTATACCCCATTTTTATACTGTACACTGTACTAAAGCTGGACTGGGCTTGGGGGCGGAGCTTATAGACTTGATGCTCTCTACATGGTATACTATGTAAAATCGCCTCCGGGCATATCAACAGTATTAGTAGTAGCAGTAAGCATGCTATTTGATAGATAACAATACTTATTAGTCAAAAATATTATTTTTTTCGCGACCATCTACCGAAAAAAATAGAAACCATATGATTTGAGAGTTCTAGGTTAATTTGCAGTAGAATTATTTACTATCACTACTTGAGTCAGGATCAAAGTTTATAATTACGGGCTGCACTTTACTCACAGGAATGATTGTTTTTTTCCTTGTCATATCCATAATTTGCCCATTGGTAGTTGGACACATTATCCAGCGCGTTCTGCCATGTCCCTAAGACATCTTTTTCATTAAGGATCATCTGGTCATAATACTGTTTGGCTTGACTCCATACCATTTCAATCGCATTAAATTGACAATGGTATGGAGGTGAGCGCAAAACCTGGTGACCCGCTTGCATAATGGCATTGTACACAACAAAGGACTTCTTCGTCTTTGGGACTTGTAGGATGCTGTTCCACAAGCTGGTTTTTGTAAAAGGGATAGCCTTAGCTTCCAACGATCTCTGCATATCGTCTTTCTTCCAGCTCATAACAGACCACTTTTCAAGTAGCATGCATGTTACGACGCATTATCCAAGATGATAATGGAGGGTTCAGCTAATTTGGGAAGAAGAACGTTTCGAAACTGAAACGATTTCTCACAAAAATTCGAAATTTAAAATTGAAAGATCCGGATCTGTTATTTTTATATGTCAAATCGAAATGTCATGTATCATTATTTGATAGTTGACAGAAAAGGAGACAGGTTTGTGGATTTTATTTACTTTCATCTGGTGAAAATAACGGTCAAAATTCAAACTCTATCGTGAATTCAACTATACAATAGATGCAGCATGCAGCACTTTGTCATATTGTTTGTTTTTGTGGTTCAGAAATAAAAAAATGTCGAAGCTAAATCGTCTTAATAGAATTACGTGGGATTTCGTTAAAAGTGGGATTCTGGTTTATACATTTTTCAAGGTCGTTTACCCCTTGTATAGCAGTTTTCAACTTCTATTGAGGGGTTACAGGGGTAGAATTTAAAATTAATAATTCTTCTGTTTGAAAGTTGAGTACCAACAGTACCCTTTTAAAGTGGGGTTTAATAGTCTAAAACTGGAGAAAAACTAAAAATTAGCATTCCTCTCTAAGGGGGTTTAGAAGTGGAATTTTCATATATGTATTATAAAAAAAAAATAGGGTTTTCACTCTGCGTAATTGTTGACGGAACAGTTTCAATGCTGCTTGTTCAGCATTTAATTGCCCCTAATTGGAGCCCAATTACATTCAAGACCGGATTGAAATTAACAAAGTTGTGAGGCAAAATGTGTTTCAAAGTAATTTTGGAAAAAAATCTTTCCTTAAAAGGACACTGAACGACTTTGAGGAAAAGGTTCAAGGGATTGAATAGACCTATCTATTTTTACCTGGTATGCGCGCGCAACACGAGGCAATGTCTTTTTATTGGCTAGATAATACAGGTGTGAGGTGATCGTTTTGCATGCTGGGAATCTCTTTATCCTTGTTCATTGCACGTGGTCTGACAAGAATAAATCTAAAGTTGATATTCAACTTGACAAGTGTCATTCAAAAGTTGTTTGACATTTTCATTGACAAATACGTTGCACAACACGCGGCTTTTCTCCTTTCCTTTTTATTCTGTGCAAATAAAAAGGACGGATTGCTATACGTAAGTCTATCATAATTTTGTACGTTTTGCCTCGTCTTGCGCAATGAGCGTTCTGTGTCTTTTTTTATTTCATGAAGTTTTCATATTATTACCTTTTTGTCTGGCAAAATAGATAGGTCTATTGAAGTTTTGCAAGTGGATAGAAAAAAGTTTGAAATTTCAGAAAAAAATTACTTTCCGCTCATCTGCAAAACTATTGGAGCTAAATTGAATTTAAAATGTTGATTTTTCTTCTTTTTTTTATTTAGAGGAGAAAAAGACAAAGAAAATTGAACAGCCTGCAGTAAACAAAGAATTTATAATTTGTTTGCTTTTGTCCTACGTTATGGTGTAAATTTATAGTCACTTTTCCAGTATAGAGGATATTCTGAATATGTTACTTTTACTTCCTAAACTAATTACTTAAGGGATTTGAAAATTTATAATTTAAATTTATTTCAGGAAATCCTGGCGTCACAGGATTTTATAAAAAGTTTGCAAAAACTCTATATGAAAGAACTGAAATTCCTGTATGGTGCGTGGGCCATGCAGGCCATAATTTCGGCGATCAATCCATAGTCAAACTACCCAATTTTTCTGAACACAAGGATCTGTATGGATTGAAGGGTCAAGTGCAACATAAGGTATGTACTTTTCAGCTCATAAAATAGGAATCATCTCACATTGCATTAAATGATATACTCTTATATTCCAGATTGACTTTTTCAAGAAATACGTCCCACAAAACGCAAAAGTCTATCTCATCGCTCACTCAATTGGAAGCTATGTTTCATTGGAAATGCTAGAACATCCCGAAGTGAAACCAAAAATTCACAAAGCTTATCTTCTATTTCCTACAGTCGAGCACATGGCTGTAACAAATCATGGAAAATTCCTAAACACATTTGTAAGGCCTATCGTTTGGCTGATTTTGTTTGCAACGTGGATATTCACAGTGCTACCCAATTTCATTGCAAATTTCTTACTATTCATTTACATGATAATTGCAAACGTTCCAAGAGAATTGCATTTACAAAATATTAAGGATTTATTAAAACCTGGAGTTTTGAGACGAGTCTTTTTCTTGGCCTTCGAAGAACTTGATCTTATTCATGACCGAAACAACGAGGTTATTAAAAGAAATGAAAAAATCGTCAAGTTTTATTATGGTAGAACGGATGCTTGGGCTCCAGAAGAGTATTACAACAAAATTAAAAACGATATACCCAGTGTTGATGCGGAATTAAGTGAAATTAATCATGCTTTTGTATTTAACCGGAGCACTGATGTGGCTAATGTTGTAGCTGGATGGATTAAACCAGGAAAATGAGAATACGCTTCCGTTTAGTTAATGATAAAGTGCCTAAAATTTGTAGGTTTTTTAAAATTAGATTTATAACATCACAAAATAATTTAGTTTCAAGCGGTAAGTAGTACTTTACCATATCTTCCCTTGATTTGTTCAGTAATAATAATTGAGGAGAGGTTGGCTTTTTTATAGATTTCCGAAACTTTTTTTACGTAATTTCCATGATTATACTTAGGGTAAATAAAGCATTTATAGTGAATTATATACAACCAATTTTTTTTTTTGTGGTAGACTGGAACGAAAAGTGATTTTTTTTTGGTTGTTAATTTTTATATTCTCTATTATTTTAATTTAAGAAAATATTTATTGTAATGCCGAAAGACATTTTTTTTCAAATTCAGTTATACATTATTATTATATCTAAATAAAGAAAATAATTTTGTTAAAGTCTAGGGTTTTTTGTTTGTATTATTTTTTTGTCAGAAAATTGTTATGACAAGCTTTTTTAAAAAAGTTTCTTATGGTTATTTCTAACTTCCTGAAAGGCAAAGTTGAAAACTAATGTTGATATTAGGTATGTTAGAATTGACATTTCAAAGGCACATAACGAACAACATCCTGATAAATTCATCAAATTTATTACTCAAAAGATCTGGACAGTCGATGCACCCACTCAAAAGTTTGTAAAGAAAAGGAAAGATCCGCCTGGTCTCCTGCTTTGCAAGGTATGAACACTGAAGAAAGCCCTCATCCCAACATAAGTATACTCATCATGAGCTAAACCCATTCTGTAATCAAGCCATTGTAGATTGTAGATTGCGGGGGAGTCGTTTCGGCTTTTCAGTTCGAGCCACAACAATTATCAAAAGAATCGATATCGTCTTGCAGCAGTTGTCTCTTCCAACGATGATACCTGACTATGAAGTTTAAGATCATCTGCAAATGACAAAAATGAGCTGTGTGTCATGAAACTACCCACATCGGATATGAACAAAATGAGGAGGATGGGCCCACAGGGACCCCTGGGGTACGCCAGAAGGAACATCAAAGACACGAGACACAACACCGCCATACCTTACTGCCAGGGTTCTTCCAACTTGCTGACAAAATATTGATTTTATGAAGGGTTGAGAATTTTCAATAAGCAACCCGAGGGTCGAGGCAGACATGGTACCGGGCGGAGGCGCCCGCATAAGGAAGGGACAGTACATTGTGAGACTTCGAGCTATTGTGATCTACCGCTCTCCGTCAGTTGATTTGCTTACGCTGTTGTATTTTTTCCTGAGCTAAAGTAGCTCATCTTGGTGTTAAAACAAACAATTGCAGCCCTCGTTCGGCTGTCAGGTTTTAAAACTCTCTAATCGTGCTTGTGTGGTAAAGTGATTTACGGTGTAACTACGAGTCCCATCAAGCCTTCATCAAATATATAGAATACTGAGCCGTATTCTGGTTAAGTGACGCCACAATCAATCTGGTATGTACCTAACTCCAATGTACTATGAATATTGTTCCTGCTGGGGCGACCCCTCCCCAAGAGGTCGCATTCTATTACCCATGGTATTCCTGCTGGGGCGACCTGTCCCCGACAGGTCGCATTCTATTACTATTGATTGCCATGGTATTCCTGCTGGGGCGACCTGTCCCGGACAGGTCGCATTCTATTACTATTGATTGCCATGGTATTTCTGCTGGGGCGACCTGTCCCCGACAGGTCGCATTCTATTACTATTAAATGCTATGGTATTCCTGCTGGGGCGACCTGTCCCCGACAGGTCGCATTCTACTACTATTGATTGCCATGGTATTCGTGCTGGGGCGACTTGTCCCCGACAGGTCGCATTCTATTACTATTATATGCTATGGTATTCCTGCTGGGGCGACCTGTCCCCGACAGGTCGCATTCTATTACTATTAAATGTTATGGTATTCCTGCTGGGGCGACCTGTCCCCGACATGTCTCATTCTATCACTATTCAATGCTCATGGTATTCCTGCTGGGGCGACCCCTCCCCAAGAGGTCGCATTCTATTACTATACAATTCTGATGGCATTCCTGATCTGGCGACCTCTCCCTCGAGAGGTCGCATTCTATTACTCTCTAGTTTTGGGTGTTCCTGCTGGGGCGACCTCTCCCCGAGAGGTCGCATTCTATTATTATCTAGTTCTGATGGTATTCCTGCTGGGGCGACCCCTCCTCGAGAGGTCGCATTCTATTACTCTCTAGTTTTGGGTGTTCCTGCTGGTGCGACTTCTCCCTCGAGAGTTCGCATTCTATTACTATCCATTTCCATCGTTTATTTACATTTGCACATCCTTGAGTTATATCAGCAGGATTTCGTCTCCGATATTAGGAGCCGATAGGGCATCTCCTCTTCACGTTCTCTAAGTGTTCACCTTCAAGTCTTTCTCCATACAGTCCACTAAACTCTAGCTATCTGTTCTACATCCATTATAATGGTCATCACTTGACGATGAACAAACTATTCGATTCCTGATCCTCCACATGGATGACTGGCATTCCAGAAAACTGGCACCGGATGCAGCCTCTCTTCAAGCACGGCTTCTTGACCTGTATTTAAACCCAACTACAACTTCTAGATTCAACCTAATCCTGCTGGATCTGGTACACTTTCCAGACTACTTCCATAGCTGAGCTGCACCCGCACCAGAATTACCCCCCCCCCCCCAAATAATACCTTTTGTTCAATAAATATATCTTTATATTAACCAACACCATTGCCGTGTTTTAATTGAACACTGTTAAAGGCTTTAGAGAAGTCCGAGTATACAGAATCAACCTGGAACCCCCTCTCCATGCTTTTCAAATTAAAATTCTGATACAAAACCAAATTTGTTGATATCGACCTACCTACCCACTGTAAACCAATGTTGTTCAGGATTTAAAAAGTCCCAGCTAGCTAAGTTTCCTGGTAATGCGACAATCAGCAACTTAGGAATCTCGGACTTCGTGCGAAAAGCCCTGTAATTTGTGACCTCTTCTCTTGACCCACTTTTAAATATTGGTTTCAAAAAGCTGAACTTCCACAGACCACAAAACCGGGTCAGAACCTGTCGACAATGAATGGTTGAAGAGATTTGCAAGAGTGTCGCAACGGTGTACAAGACATTTCTTTAGGGAATTTCATCCGTTTCCGTTTCACATGACGAGTGACAATTTATCAGTTGAATTTTTGAAGTGAAAACTTAGAATCGTTGGGAGTGATTTGAGACGATGAAACGAAAAAGCGACCTGAAACAAAAAAGCAACACTTTTTTAACACGCTTATATTAACACACAACAAGAACCTGGTCCTGGAACAAGCCAAGTGAGCTGGAGCAAGTCTGGAAAATGTCTGAATAAATCTGGATGAAGTCTGGAAAAGTCTGGAAATCTCTGGAAACGTCTGGAAAAGACTTGGAAATTTCTGGAAAGGGTTGGAAAAATTCTGAAAAAGGTCCCAAAAGACCTGGGGATCAATTTCCAAAATCCGGATCAGTCTGAACAAGTCTGGATTAATCTGGATGAAGTCTGAAAAACTCTGGAAGCTAGCGAGGGGTTGTTTTATAAGGCAAAAACAGGTGTGACGTCAGGTGGCATTCTAATGTAAGGAGCCACCAGCTCACATTCCGTCCGAGTTCAGATTAAAATCGACGGAGAATACAAGCCATAATAATATAGGGTTTTTCCTTTTTATTTGTAAAAATAATAGGCATGTATGTCTCAGGTACCTACACACCTCTCTGGCTGTTGTTCGGTTCCTATTTGGCGGAGGATGTGTTTCCTCATGCATGGAAGTTGTCTTATGTAACGCCGAACGCCTATTTTGAAAACTATGGACCAATAACAAGGCTATCACTGATATCAAAGTTGTTTGAATCAATCATTACTGTGTATTTAAAAGATAATTTAGAACGAGTTATAATTGCAAATCAACATAGATTTCACACTAATTCACACTGGTCGGTCAACTACTACTAACCTTATGATTCTTATGATCTACCATGATTACATTTTCAATGCCTTGGATAATAGATTTGATGTGGATTCAAGATTCAATCTACACAGATTTCTCGAAGGCATTTGACACAGTTAATCATGTTTTACTCAGTCATAAACTTCATCGTATTGGTGTTCATGGCACCTTACACTTACAATGGATTGAATCGTACTTGAGTCAACGTACACAAATAGTTGTAATTATTAGTTATTTTTCGCACTTCCAATCAAAGTTACCTACCTCTAGAGTTCCCTAGGGGCTCACAAGTCACATGGCTCCACTTTTGTTCAACATTTTTATTAATGATATTTCAATCTTGCTTTAGTTTCAATCAATTTTTAATGTTCGCAGATGATCTGAAATTTTTTTCAAGTATTGAATCAAATATAAGGATACATAGTTAAAATCCAAAAAGACTTGGGCACTTTTCGTGCGTGGTGTAACAAAAATAGATTGTTTCCATCGAGCTTTAAATTAAATTGTTTCTTAAGCCCGTATTACATCTATCTGTGTATTTTTCCGTGTATTTCAGGGTGACAACCGAAAAACTTCAAACGCAACATAAATCAGCAATATGAAAAACAAAATAATTTTGGCACCCTGAACTACATGAAGAAATACACGGAAAAATACACAGATGTAATACGGGCTTTGATATAGATAAGTGTAAATATATTCATTTCATTAAGGCTGTTGTTGTGGAATCGAACGACTATTTTTTGAACTTGACTCAACGCGAGAAGGTTGAAACAGAATATTCGGGAATTGTTTTTGATTTTTAGATTCAGTTTTGCTGATCATTTGTATTTTTGTAGGAGCAAAGCATTGCGAATGCTAGGCTTCATTTTTAGAAATACACAGGACTTTATTAATTTAAATGCCTTGAAAATATTGTATTTTAGCCTGGTTAGGTCCCACTTAGAATATTCTAGTGTCATTTGGTACTTATTTTCTCAAAAATATATTTCAAGTTTAGAGTCGATTCAGAGAAGGTTTTTGCGTTATATTACCTATCTTTAAATTGAAAATCCCTTGCGACCACTTAGACTTCAGTGAATTAGAGATAATTCTCAACATTCAGTTATTGGAGACTAGTTGTAAGTACCGCACACAAAATTCATGGTTCTATAGACTGCTCGGAACTTCTTCGTCAACTCGACTTTTACGTTCCCTCGCGATCATTAAGAAATCATAAAACTTTTCAAATGCAGCAGCATCGAACGTGTTACGATCGAAACACTGCGGTGAATAGAATCATGGAGGATTGCAACACTCTCAGTATTGATGTCGATCTGTTCGTAGTCTCTGAGCTTCCATTGAGAAAGTGTTGAGGAGGCAGTAGTTTTATGATATTTGTACCTACTTATTGTTGTATGGTCTCTTTAATCCTAGCTCTAATCTGAATGAT